AAGGGGTCGAGGGGCTCAGGGCACATGCAAGGACGGCAGCCGGGTCTATCTACCGGAGCTGCCTCAAAAGACCGGTGCTTTGCTCTGAGACACGGCTAGGTCACGAGCTGGGCTGTGGGAAAGCGGGTATGGAGCTTCGGGCTGCAGGGCATGAGACTGACGGTTTTTGGGTTTAGGGTTTAGGGTTTTACTCCTTGCTGGTCAAGACCTGCAGCCCAGAGAGGCTCTTTCAAAAGTCTCGGTAAGGACGCACTTTGTCGGCGCATGTCCTCCAGACTCGTGCGGAAGTTCGTCAAAAGTTGCCTTCGGTTGTTGGAAGGCCTTCGGTTTTGAGGAACTTCTTCAAATGGGCTCAGGGGCCAAGTCGAAAACATGGAGAAAGCGTAGCCGAAGCCCGTGGCGAAGCCCGAGCTGTCGCTTAGGGCTTAGAGCGCCTCGCTGGCTCCAAGTTCAAGGTTTGGGCTGCAGGGTTTAGGGTTTAATGCTTGGGGCTTCATGGTTTTGGGATTTAAGGTTGAGGCCTTCAGGGTTGTGGGTTTGAGATTGAGGCTTTAGGGTTTCAGGTTTAGGTGTCTTAGAGTTTAGGACCCCGTAAATTCCCGCGAGCACCTGTAGCAAGCGCCTGCTGGCAATAGTTCGTCAGCACGGACCCCTAATGGCTGCCTCATCTGACTGGAAACATACCGTAGGAACCAAATGAACCGCAAAAGGGTTTAGGGCTTCATGTCCCATGTTAGGCTCCTACAAGATGTAAACCACCGAGTTTGACCTTGGCGATCGGTCCTTGACGTACTTGGGGCAAAGCTCCCACGGAGACGATATCTATATCCACAGACGGTATATATATATATATAGAGATTGTATGTTACATATTATTATTCACTAAATGTTAGTAGTTATAAAATATGCATAATGTATTGAATAATACTAATACATATACATATATATATATAGATAGATCTATCTATGTATGTCGTGCATATTTTGGGATTATATATAAATATATGTATATTATGTTTACATATTTTGTATTCAACAGTATATGTTGTTATGTTGTATTAAGATATTATATAGTATGTTAAATATATATATTGATTGTATGTGAAGTCATAATAATGATACCGTGATGTGTGACACCATATTACAATATGGTTTATTATATATTGTGTTATGTTACAATATATTATGCTACAACCAGTCATACTATATTATATTGTAAGACCTTATATAATATCACAGCGTTTTAGCACAATATGATATATACACTTTTTGTTATTTTATACTGCAAAATACGATGGTATATTATACGATATGATATTTTATTATATTGTTAAATTGTATTTTAGTTTCGTATAATTATATCATTTTATACTTTACTACCGCATGTTGTAATTTATGTTATCATACATTATCTTATCTGACCTTATATTTCAATCTGGTCTCACGCCACCAAAGTTGACATTAGGTTTTGGGACTATGATTCCACACTGGCAGTATACATAGACCCTCAGGGATCCCTTCTCCTGTCCTTTAGAGACCTCGAAGATAAACTAAACCTTGAACTCTGAATCATGAAGACTTCTATCCGTGCAGCTGGCTTTCCACTTTCCACAGGCTTCGAGGACGGAAAGACATGTTGCCAAAGGCAGCTCCAGGTGATGCAAATCCTTGTCCGGTACTAGAAGTAGTGGCACAGGACGGTAGTTGTGAACATATGCACGGAAGTCCTCATCCAGAAACGCTTGAATGATTGGCCGTCCCAGCCCAACGCGCTAAAATTACACTTACCCTACATACACAGGTCCGATGCGACCATCAGACCCCTCACCAGGAGTTGCCATACATTGGAAACACGCAATTTTCGCTGAAACACGGTGATTCAAACCTTCCAAGATGGTGTGCTTGTTTTGAAATTAGGCGTCCTCGCAAAACGGGCTAGCCCCCCAATGATCTCTGAAACATAACTCGCATGTGAATATCGTGTTGGGGACTTCCCTCTGATCTATGGAAGGGGCTCTGGCTTCATACTTGTTTTAAATCCAACACAAGACACTATTCAACCCTGCCGAGCTCGACCTGTATCCCCAAACCCTCCATACTTCCCTGCAGCGATGGGGTAGAAGTCGTTAGTCAGATGGTACGTAGTTGGATTTGGGGCCATACACAACAAAAGCAACGTCAACTCCCATCTCCTTAAGAATTGCCTTACTCCCCATGAACAAGATGCAAACATCCAACAAGTTCATACCAGAAAGACGCTCGGAGATATAATACAACCCACACCGTTTGAGGAGTTCAGAAATGGCGAACTAGACGCTTATTATCTTTAACTCCTTTCTCCTGCAAAACCAGTGCAAGCCCCAAATTTTAGAAACGCGCAGTAAGTCGCTAGACCTAACTCCGCAGTATTGGAAGGCCGGGATGGGGTATAATTACGGCCCGGTATATTGCACCGTTATCTTCGGAAGGAGCCCTAAGGAATAGCATCGCTAAAAGGCCCTTATATTGGCCGGTTCAACTCAAGGCTCCGGTAGAACTGTTCGATCGCCCGCGACAGGCTCTGTTTCGGCACGGGGCTTAACCGTGCCACGGTCATGCCTGGTCATTCGTCAGGGTTTGAGGTATAGGGTCTAGAAAATTTGAGGTTTAGGGTTTAGCAGAGCAGTTTCGGTGCTTCTTATCTAGGATTATTATACTATGCACAAACATGTAAATGACTCTCAACAACATCCAAGATGCTTAGCATGGCTCCTGGAAGCATGCGCGAGAAAGCGCCGAGCATCCCAGCGGTTACTGGCGTCGATGCTCCCGGTGGTTGAAACCGTGCGATGTCGTCTTCACAACATCGGATTATCTCACGCAAGGGCTCCCTGCCCACAGGTGCAGAATTGAGGTGTCCTGGAGTCTTCAGGGCCAGGGAAGAACAATCCAAACCCAAAGCCCTTGATGCCTGCAACGTCTCAGAACCTCCCAGGATCCCCCAAGAAGACTTCAAACGATGCCGAAGGCTTAGCGTGTTGGAGCTACAGGTTTTTGACCTTAATGCATCTCTAAAGGCTCTACGGACCCGTTGTTGAGTACGAGTGTCAGACGGTGCGTTGTGAAGCTTCTATGCTTGTTCAGGGTTTGCTTGAACGCTCAAGGGAGCACATTTTTAGAGAGTATGACCCATCAGTGTGATGCTTGCTGTATTGTGAAGACCATACCGGCTGTGTTGAGCAGCAAACACGCATAACCTCGACCTACATTGCAGGTTTGAATAACCTCAACTGCCAAGTGGCCAAATAATCGAGTTATAAGTACCAAAAAGCAATCGGAGTATATCTGGAACGGAACCCTGTTTTTGTGTAAGTGCAACAAGCGAAAGCTTGTTGGAGAGACAAGTTTCTGCCTATATGCCCTATGACACCCTAAACAACAAAAATCAAGCCCGCCCCATCCCTTGCCCGATAACAACGACCACAAACAATTCCTTCCAAGCCGTATCAAATCCGTACCCTAAAACCTAAACTCCGTATACTTCCCTCTCCAAACCAAGTTTCTGGACAGCGCGACGTGCAAGGTAATCAGCAACTGGACATCCTTATTTGTCCATCTACAGGTATGGAACCAGAATAAGGATAATAGTTTCAGTAGCCCTGAACCCCTAAACGCCCTAAACCCTAAATGATTAAAGGCCCTAAACCGTAAACACCCTTAAACCCGAGAGTGCTCCCAACAAAAATAAAGGCTACTTACCTTTCCTCAGCATCGGACATCTCATCCAGGCTCCTTCGAACGACCTGCTCAGGTCGCCTTGGGCTCTTGGCATTTAACGAGTTCTCAAGCTCTGAATTACTATAGACCCCCATTGCGGTAAGTTAGATTAAGTTCCCTCGCGAGACACCAATTCAGGATGATTGCAGGATTCGGCTCCACCAACTTAACCCTCAACCCATATAGAACCCTTGTAGAGGCCTTTAACGAACCCTAAGACAACCCTTTCAAGATCATTTGTAAGAACTCATAGAACGTCTTTATCATTATAGAGCCCTCCACCCACCTACCCCTTCCCCCCCCGAGTAGCCTCCGATGTCGGTCACGAGCCTGAGGGTGATCTGCATGGCAGTACTTGCATGACCTCCCGTTTGGACATTCACCATTCCTTGGCTCAGGGGCGTAGGGTTTCATACTGGGGCCTGGGAAAAGTACCAACTTCACTATTCCTTGGGACTGCTTCTTACAATTTGCTCTGCATCCTGCACCCGAGGCCCATGCAAGCATTTAGGGCAAGAAGACTGCCATTAATGGGCACTCAGTTTTAGGGTCCAGACCTCGTTTCAAGATAAACATGCGATGAGGAAACGGAAAAGGTTCCGGAAACAGAGGAGAGGCTCATTCGCAGGATGGTATAAGGTCAGGAAAGCAATTCTATCCCATGCATACTAAAACCTAAACTTCCAACCTGGTTGGCATAACTCTCAAGCTTTGGAAAACAGCAAGAATCATACTATACCCAAGCCCAGCGCGATGACCCCTGACGCACATGTTAAAGCACAACACGTAGCAAATCCTCAATCCATGAACCCTCCCTAAACCTTACCCAAACCCCAGCACAAGTGGCAAAACAATGGCCCAACGCCGATAAGGAGGCTATTCTTCTACATACTTTGGGGGTCCTGGTCAGCCCTAAACACTCAAGCCCTGAACCCTCGAACACGACAAATCCGGACCATGAAACACGACCCCCCGGCTAACATCTTTTCGGGCTCAAGGATTAGGGGTTTACGGATTAGGGTTGAGGGTTTACGGTTTAAGATTCCGGGAAGGCTCGTGCCCCAAGAGCCGTGGAAAGGGACGTAAACAAAAGCAATGCTTTCGAATTTCGTGGCTTTGTTGATAGTTTGGGTGTTTCTGGGATTATAAAAATAATAAGAACAAAAAAACATTGACACATTGACAATAAGCGTAGAGCTTGCATGGATCACTGTTGGCGACTCTTGGGGTTCGGGCTGCTATAACACACGGGTTTGCTTCAAGATGTACGGGAATTTCGGGCTTACGGGGGTGGGTTGGCCGTGCGGTTCTTTGTGATTGGGACTTACGACTAGGGATCGAAAAATGCAGTAGGGCTTAGTGTATTCTCTCTAGGATTATTTATTATGATGTTTGTCGGGTTCTGGGTTCAAGGTATCAGCGTGTAGATTGGCCGATCAGGCTCAAAGCGGGCATTGCGTGGGATCCAAAGGGCTCGATTACATGACGGGGGTTAATGCTAGAGGTGTAACTATGGTTATTGGTCTGACAATTGAGGGCTTCGGGCTCAAGGGTATGAGGAAACGCCGTCATCGCTGTTCCTTGCGGTTGTGGCTCGACAAGATATCTTGTCAGGCATTATCCTAGGTGGTTCCTGAGAGGGATGCGGTCCAAGTGGACGTCCTCAGTACAGTGCGCACGTGCTGTCAACTTCGAAGCCCCATGCACGGAACTTCGAAGTGCCATGCACGGCAGGGCAGACGGGCATGATGGAACCTATGACGACGACTACGACTACGACTACTTCTTCTACTTCTGCTTCTACGGCTCTCCGACTATCCAGCTGGTGCTGAGGGTGCGGCAGAAGTCACGGCCCAAGTGACTGGAGGTGCCTCTTCGCGACAGTGGCGTGGCCGTCGGCCACTGCGGCGCCGCCCACGGCTCTGTGTGCCTTAGCGTGAGCTAACGCACTCGGGACAGGTTTCCGGGAAACAGGAATAGCAAAAACATGGCCTCTTCCGTCTCCTTACGACCGTACCTGACTTGGTGCAGTTCGGCTTTGCAAGCATGCGCACTCAGAGCCAACGTATCTCCCAACACCCGTGACTAAGCGAAACAGGTTTCCCTGGAACCTGAGGTAACGGGGAAAGAATCAAACTTCCTCTCATCGTTACATCTAAGACCCTTGCAGCACTCTATGTAAAGCCATGAGGCCTTAACCCTAAACCACATCCCCGCCCAAAAGCCATAAACCCCAAATTTTAAAAAGCTTGCGTCTAAGTCTGCCAGCGCAGGTTGTCGTTTGACGAGCAGAAGGAAGGCAGGATTCCCGGAAAGCAAGCGACAACCACAATTCAGTCACAGTAAACAAAGCGAGGCAAGTTTAAGTCACTTGAAATAAGCAAGCCAAACAACGCGCTTAACAAAAATTGAAGCAGCTCGCCTGACTGGAGGTTTAAGTAACAGTAAATTGAAACAGCGCTGAGATTGGGGCAAGGTTAGGTGCAGGGTCGAGAGCACGGCATGGCGGCCCTGGCTGGCTGGCTTCTGGGGGCCTGGCAACAGGCTAACAAGCCGAATTCCGCAGCTCGTCTGCAGCTCTGGCAAAGTTTGACGCAACCAAAGGTGCGACAACGAAGGCTGTTGGCGACAGCTCCAGCTGCTGGACTCCTGGACTTTTGCTTTCACGGGCTTGGCAAATAGCCAAACAGCTTGGCAACAGGCGACAGAGTTGAATTTGGTGGCTTGGAAAGGTGTCTGGAACAAAAGCAAAACCCAAGTTGGGGGTCTTGGAAGGGGCCTGGCAAAAAAAAAAAAACAAAAAACGCATTCTCGGAGCCTGGAGGCCAAAAAGCCCAATTTGGATGTTTTGACGTGGTTGCCAAGGAGACGACGGATGGCTCAAAAACTGTTGCAACACTTCGGCCTAGCTGCGACTTCCTCCTCGGACTCGGTGTCCTCCCCGTTCTCTTGCTCTTCGGACTCGGTCTCGTCTTCTGCAGCACTTTCTTGCACAAATCATGATGCCACATCTCATCTCATTGTTCCGAGGCAGTTCAAAGCTCGAGTGCTTCCCAAGCTTCAAGTACCTTAGCACGCAAGGAAGCACCTCAAACCATTCCCAGTCGGCTTGAGTCGAGCCTCCCTCAGAGAATCGACGCAACGGTGACCCCGACGAACAACGTGTCGACACATGCGCAAGCACATGATCAGACGCAAAATTCAGAAGATACCTACGCACTTCCTGGAACACGCGCTCATTCTGCATGTTGTCCTCCGCCTCGGACCCGGTTTCGTCGCCTTCTTCCTCCTCCTCGGCCTCCTCCTCTTCCTCCGAGTCGGCTTCGTCGGCAGAATGCTGCCTAAGATGCATGACTGACCCTTGCAAGCACCACGACAGCGCGCAAGCGCTGGCGAACACCTGGGCCTCCAACTTTGTCATTTTGCTGAGGTCGCCGGTAAAGCCATGTTTCTCCCAGAAAGCCATGGCATCCGCATCAGGGGGTACCTTTGCTACGCGCCTACAAGGCCCACCATAACAATTGAGGGTGCGGGTTGGAGGCACCTGCGCAGAACACCTGGACCTACATCCTAGAAACTTGAAACCGTCGTAAAGCTAAGCGGCGACTCTGAGACTTGAACTGGCCTATTCCAAGACAAAGGGTAAGGTTGAGGCTATTCCTCAAAAGTGTGATGCCGACGACAGGTTCCCAGGTATTGTAGAATGAGGGCTTAGCTGAAGTGGAGTTTCGAGGACGACGACGACGACTCAGTGAAGACTGTGGGGTCTCGGTATGCTGCTCCAGGACAAATCCTCGTGGGGATACAGCCCCACTGTCCGCTGATCTCGTTACCGGTGGGCCACCAAACGACCACGTCGATAAGCGACTTGGGGTAGTGAACCTCGCAAATCTTCAAATGCTCCTCGACTTGCCATGCAAACCATGACAACGTCTTGCCCGAACACATGGTATACACAAGCAGTGACAAGCACCCTGCTCCCGCAGGCGGGTCAGCATCCAGGTTCTCTCGACATCGCCTCAGAACATGGTCGGTGTGGCGCCTTCCTGAGAATTCATTAAGACCACTGCCATGTTTGACAACACACCTACACGAGAGAGAAAGACAGAGCGAGGGAGAGAGGGAGAGACAGAGAGAGAGAGAGAGACAGAGGCAAAGACAGAGAAACAGAGATAAAGATAAAACACACAACAACAAAGTGAGAGACAGAGTGAAAAACAAAGGAAACAAACGCGTTTATACAAGCAGAAAGAAAACAAGGTAGAAAGGAATGTGAGATGAAGAGATAAAGCAAAACACACACGCTTCAACCAAACAAGCAACAGCCAGCAGGACAAAAAATCAACAGCTTGCACTGCACCACAAATGCGCACTGTGCACATCAGGGCAACGAAACCATTCCTCAGAGTCAGCACCTATCTCAAGCGCCGCCATTACAAGAGGAGCCTCTTTGAGCCCTTATCGGCTGGAGGGCCTTATCGGGGCTTGGGGTATGCTATATGCACTAAGTATACGGGGCCTTAACAGTTAGAATAGGGTTTTGGGCTCCTTTATAGTATTATGATAATAATATAAGGAACCTTAGCAGTACTATTAGTAATCATTTAGGCTTCTATCTTAATCTTAAGGGGATACTGCAAATTAGTTCTTCCGAGCCCTATGACGCCGAAAACCTCGGAAGCCATGGTTGCATCCCAGGCATCCGAGTGCGAACGAAAACGCAGGGCTTCGCACAGAAGAGTGGGTGTCCAATGGCCCCACGGCTGGGAAAGCCATCCGGTGGAGGGGGCACAGGCCTCACTTATGAGATCTTCTAGGGTTTACGGGTGCGAGGGTTGAGAAGTTAGGGTAATGTAGGGGCCTTAATAATTAGAATAGGGTTTTGGGCGTTCCGTATTATAATTATGGTAAAATGTACCCCAAACCCTATTCTAATCATTAAGGCCCCTTTATTATAGTAGGGTTTAGGATTGTTTCCGATGTTTTGGGTCGAGTTTCCGTCTTTCGGAGTTGCACGGCTTAGGTAAAAGCCTCTGCAATAAGGTTTGAGGTTTCTAAGTCAACACATCGGTGATCAACATAGATGGGTAATGTAGGCGCCTCAATAACTAGAACAGGGTTTGGGGGTATATATTACTATAATTACAATAAGGAGCCCAAAATAGCGTAGGTAATTATTGAGGCCCCTACAGTAAGGGGTTCTAGGACAGGTAAGTGTTTGGAGGCTTTTCAAGGGCCCATAAGCCAGCAGAACTTACATAAACATTCAGCTCTGCCAAAGATTTACACGAAGCCGAAAACACCCTAAACCCCAAAACCCAAAACATACAAAAACTCACTAGCTCAGCCCCCAAAATCCTAAACATAAAAAAGGCAGACTAACTCAGCTGCGAAGCGGCTGCCTTCCTTGGAGCGACGAGCGGCTGTCCCAATATGTACTCGCTCGGGCTTGTGCGGCAGGGCAATCGAAACCTGGGTCTTGTGGTGTCGGCTTTTCTTCATAGGGTCTAGGGTATACAGGTTTTAGAGTTTAGGGTAAACAGGGTTTAGTTTAGGGTTTAGGGTATATAGGGTTCAGGGTTATATAGGGTTTAGGGTTTTCAATTGAAATCTTGGTCATGCGGTTTCGTCCTGAATCTACAGCTACGGTTTAGGGTTTGGGGTTTGGGGTTTAGGGTTGCAAAACCCTCCACGAACCACAAAACCACCATGCCGAGTCTGAATAGGATCCACGCAGCCACTACGCGGGACCTATATGAACCATATAGACCCTGGCACCCCCATCAACCGTATGCACCCATGAACCTGAAATCCCAAAGCCTTAAACCGCAAAAGCCTAACACCCTAAACCCTACTAACATATATGTAACCTGAAGCCTCAATACCCAAACTTGGTCAACCCCGAAGGTCCAAACCCCCATCCTCCCCAGCAAATCTCCAACTCAGCAACGCATCTCCGAGGTCGACGAAGAACCTGTGCAGCCAGCTTCTCGGTCATCTGACGGCAACTCAGCCTCGGCCTTTGCTTTTGAGGAGTTGGGGTTTTCTTGATGAGGGCTCCTTGTCGATGTTTTCGGGTTTCGGGTTTACGGCTTGAGGGCTTTTTCAGGCTTTACCCCTAAACCCAGCACCCTAATCCCTAAACCCAGCACCCTCAACCTTAAGCTTATGTGAGTTCTGCCAAGGCCCAAGGCTTTCACCAGCAGATAGGCGCGTGGACCCGCAGAGGAGCTTTAGGTTTGGAGTGGTAGATATTCAGGGTTTAGGGTTTAGTGGTGTGGGGTTTAGGGGTTTGGGGTTAGTATTCACAAGAGTATATGATTATTAGGTACTTGGACCCTTAGGGTTAGGCTTTAGGGTTTAGGGGGGGTTCAAGGGTGAAGGGTTTAGGGTTTGGTAGACCTTCAGGAGGATCGGGGGTTGCAGGTCGAGGGCTTTAGCTGACTTCAGGTTTGAAGGGTTTGGGATCCCAGGGATGGGGTATCGGAATTATGTCGCCCGCCTCGAATTATTATTGTCCGAATCTCACATCCAGAAACCTCAAAGCTAGACCCATACTTACACCCCTCATAGAACCCTCATGACCTGCGAACCCACGAGAACCCGACATGTACATGCCCACGTCCGCGCCTCTGGTTGGTGTTTTTCTTCGGGCACTTCTTCCGAAAAAAGGCCAGTGTCAAATGCATCTGCCATCCTAGGCGACCCGATTCCTTCATGTAATGTAGGGGCCTTAATAACTAGAACAAGTGCGTACTATGTTTTACTTATAATAAGGAACCCCAAAATAGAATAGGTAACTATTGAAGCCCCTAGATTAATCCGATTCAAGGTTTTTCAAAGTGCACTGGGAACTTTCGAACTGCCAGCTCTCGGCCTGTTGTGGGCTGGGTTCAGGCTTTAGGCTTTTGGGGCTGTTCTATACTGAATTTAGAGCCCTAGCAAAAATTATAATTTTAGCTGCCTCTTAGGGTTTATAGTAGCCAAAGATGAAAACTATTTCTAAGTACCCCTAAGTGGTGCCTGTTGCTTAAACTCCTTGTTGCGTCCGCCTACGTCAGCATCATCGGCTTTCGGGGTTTTTGCTTTTTGGAAATCCACTTTCCATTCGCCGCACCCTCGCCTTGAATAAAAAAGCCTCGGGTTCCCGGCTTTTGGGCTTTCGGGTTCAGGGTTTAGGGGGGTTTCAGAGCTTGGGGGTTGTAGAGTCAGAGCTTAACGGCGTGCTCTGGCTTTCGGACGTCGATATTAGGTCCTAACATGTGCAGCTTGCAATGTTCAAGGTTGCGGCAGGTTGCCAGCCCAAGGAAGTACACAAGGATCCCAGGCAGCAATGTCATCTTCTTGCAGCCTGATAACTCCCTTGGTTCCTATACGTACAGCAGCTAAAGAAAGAAGCTATGGATTGCGCGTTGAAGCAAGAGAAAGAGCCGGAGGAGCAGCACAAACAAGAACAGAATCCTGCAAAAATCACGGTCGAGACAACACCCCCCCGCTGTAATAGTAATCACACTTATCGAGCTGTCTATGGGGGAAGAAGGGTTCAACGCAGGATTCCCGAGCCAACCTGTTCGCGGACCAGGAAATTCAATGATAGTTTCCATCCCTAGGCTTTTCGGAACACTAGAGAAAAACAGAAGTGATGATCATCAGAAGTCAATCGCAACAGTGCCAATATTCTCCATGAGAACAAAATTATCCGCTGCACTTGAAATTTGGAGCGTAAATCCCTGGTGAAACCATGAGCAAAAACACAAGCAGAAAACAACCTTTATAAGATCGTAGTAACCCTTGGGGAACCGTCGTAGAATCCTGACAAAAAATTGGAAACACTGCGAACCCCTTTCAAAAGGAAGAAACCGCTGCATTGCATTAGGGCTACCACTATTATTGTTGTTGTGTTTGCTATCTTTTCTCATGATTCTTCAGATGATTCTTCATTCTAATATCATTAATCAATTAGTATCTAGTTTCATTGAACCCTGAACCCTAACCCCTTGTCATTTCCGAGCTGCAGCCTGGATAACCTCGTGACTGTATCGATGCGTCTGAGCTCGTTGTCTGGAGGAGGCCATCCTAAGCTCCCGCGGTTTAGGGTTTAGGCTAAACCCTAAACCCTAACCCCTAACCCCTAAACCCTAAACCCTTAGGGTTTAGGGTTTAGGGTTTAGGGTTTCCCATCCCAAGCTCCCCCTCGGGACGAGGGTTGATGTTGCTGCCTAGACTTTTCCCAGAGGCTCCGAAGTACCTCCATGGGGGATTCTAGCCCAAACGAGTAATAGCAGTTTAGGGTTTAGGGTTTAGGGTTTAGGGTAGACTTTCTACTATGTAGGTAGCTAGGAGCCTTTGCGGTTTAGGAGCTTGAGGGACACACCCTAAACCCTGAACCCTAAAGCAACAAACCCCAGACTCCTAGAAGCGAATCAGGCCCTCGCCCTAAAGCATACGCGCACTAAGCCATGAAAACCTGGTAAACCCATTAGTGAGCCCGTAAACACTAATCCCTAAAGCCCAAACCCTAACATCAAAAAACCCTCGAATCCCTGAACCCTAAGCCTAAAACCCTAAAATCCATAAACCCCCATAATCCCCGAACCCTAAAACCCATAAACCCGTATAGTCCCTGAGCCCTATAGCCCTACCGGCCCCCTCTGGTCCGAGTCTATCCGAAGGCTCTCCCTAAACTCTAAACCCTAAACCCTAAACCCTAAACCCGAAGGCTCTTGGAAAGGTCGGCAGCGGAGCGCTTTTCGCACGCAGCAGCCTCGGGGATTCCTCGATGTCTGCCACCTGCATCAGGTTTAGGGGGGTTTAGGGTTTGAGGGTTTGAG